ATGGCGACCCGCGTAGTTCGGCTCGATTCGAACAGAGAGAGAGAGAGAGAGAGAGAGAGAGAGAGAGAGAGAGAGAATGTTTTACGGAGCAGGTTGTTTCAGCACGTGAAACATAAAATTGTGGTTACTGGTGTCCTGTCTTGTGAGTGTGCTTGAGCGCACCTAACCTTTGTAACATCTACTTCAACTGTAAACGACCTAGACAAATTTCTCCCTGCGAGATGAATAAAGATTGTCATCGTCATTGTCACTGTCATTGTTACAATGTGCAACGCATCTGTGTCAGTACTGTGTAGTGCAGAGTGTAACTCAGTTGTCACAAAAGTGGAGCTACGTTAAGTAGGTACAATCCAAGGACTACTATAGTATAGTAGTCCTTGGTACAATCATTAAAAAAATTACTCTTTTTTTCTTCTCTCTTTTGAAAACAATATGCTTTCAAGGTTTAGTACATTTGCAGTACATTTAGGTCTAGTACATTTGTAGTACATTTGTTGTATATTTAGTACATTTGTAGTACTGTTAGTGGCCTACATTTGTAGTGCATTTGTAGTACAGATAGTAAATTTGTAGTACATGATTTAGTACATTTGAACAGGTTGTAGTACATTGTAATACAATTAATACATTTGTAGTACATTTAGTACATTATTGTAGTAGTACATATTATATAGTACATTTAGTAGATAATTTGTAGTACATTCGTAGTACATTTGTAGTACAATTAGTACGTTTGTAGTTCATTTAGTACATTATTGTAGTCCATTTAGTACATTTGAAGTACATTTCTAGTGCAGTTAGTATATTTGTAGTACATTTGTAGTACATAATAAATTTAGTACATTTGAACAGCTTGTCTTTTGACTGCTTTGTCCACAGACAAAAGCCTCATTTGGAAGTGCGGCCTGGCGATGAGATCAAGACGACGTGCGTGTACAACTCTGTGGGCATAGATAGATGGGTGTACTACGGGGACGCCACAAGTGACGAGATGTGTTTTGGCTTTCTCACCATGTACCCTGCCGACGCTTTGCCTTATGGCGGATGTGAGTGATTTGTGTGTGTGTGTGTGTGTGGGG